AAGGTTGTCCTCAGCTAGTAGAAATCAGTTTAACAATAAGGTCTTTCCTGCTGTGAATAAAGAGCTACCAGCTTGGTCTATCAGAAGTCACCCAGCATTTTTAAACGGCAGTTTTTAGCGCAGGTAGTGCCTTTATCCTATACTGTCAGGTACACGCTACAATTCTAAAAACAGTAAAGAAAATAATTATCCTCCCCCATTCATTTCTTCCTAATTCTCAACATAAAGAAGCTGCAATGACTGATAGTGGAAATTGCTGCAGCTCCTCAGGAGCTTTTCCACTAGCAAATCTTCCGATCACTTGGGCTGACTACCAAGACCAGGTGCAGAATTCTGATCCCCGAGCTACCATACGAGATGGCACAATTCCCTCTGGAAGCAAGGCCAGGCCTAAATGCATGCAAATCCCAGGGTCTGAAGACTTACGGAAGACAACAGACTGTAAGACAAAATAGAAATCTCTGCACTGAATCCTTTCTTAACCAGCATGTGAATGTCTCATGAATCAAGCAGCGTTATAATTCACTAATGTGACAAATAAGCATTCTAATATACTTTCTGTATGATTTGGGGAAATGTACGCACAATTTATACATTTTGGTTCATGTTATGGAATGATACAATTGCTATAGGTTTGTATACCACTGTAAGTATGTATCTACCTTTGTTGACCAGGACTGTATGACATTTTTCCCTGGAAAGATATTTAGGGAAACCAGCAAATTTAATGACTGGACTCTGGCTATACAACAGGAATACTAAAAAAGCAAACTAAAAGTATAACCTTGCTTCTTTTGTAGGGTAGAGAAGATAGAGGATAAAAATATACAAATTTCAGGTTAAAGAGGGAAAGATGCTGGTAGGACTTCTAATGGACTCTAAGAAACATACTGAAGGATTTAGCCAGGAGAAAATAAAAGATGAGCATGTTCAGCCAAAGACTCTGTAGCTCAAGTACAAACCAGAAAGACACAGGACCATGTTCCAGACACAACCCAGAAGGACTAAAACACCTGAAGTGGGTAAAACTTGCGGGGTGTGTTATTTTAACATAGATAATAAATGTATTATCTCATACTGTTACAGTAAAGGACAACAGTGGCTTCAGAATCCCTATGAGTGTTTTCGGGCATGCTCTCATATCTGTCATGGTCTCCCTCATGAAAAATCTCAAGAAGAACGCCCAGGATTCTGGGAAATTGTTTTTAACCTGAAGTGAGACCTTGAGATAGCTGCTCAGTTGCATTAGGCAGTTGAACAGTGGATACAAGCACAAGGGTGAGAGTGCTAAAATATGAAACCTTTTTTCAAGTGTGTTCCCGAGACCCCAGCCTTGGGGCAGTAACCAGATTCTGTTTAGTTTCTAAAAATATGAAGCACATTGGATTCAAGGAGTGCAGCCCAAAACTTTAGTATGGTAAGTAATCAGCTGGAGAGGGTAACCAGATCTCTAACAAATACTATTCAGATTCTCATTTTAAATTGTTTGTGTTTCCAGTTCAAATCATATCACAACAAGAGATTCTTTTGAAAAATGTTAACCTCCAATTTCTTCTGATGAAATACAAAAACAGTATAGTGGTAAGCCACAGTGGGGATTTTTCAGTGATAGCAAAGGATCTTTCTTGTCACCTGAATCTATTATTTTCTATTTAGGAGACTATTCTGATGTTACAGCTCAACTCCAACCCTCCATTAAGAAAATATATATAGGAAGCACTACTAAGCAGTCAAGGATTAAGAAACAGTAAACTTAAGGATGCCCACGCATCTCCACGAATGCACACCTACCACTTTACACACCAATTTCATTGGCACATGCTGCATTCAAATAACAATAAACCTGCTATTTCTTCTACAGCCAGAGGTACTTAGGAGTTCACTAAAGTGGGACTCATAATCTGAGGAGTTTTGTTTAACTTTTCATGCAAGTTTTCTGCTCCCTAAAATATTTATTTTAATAATTTTGATAAATAATTAAGATTTTCTTTTAACCTGTCACACAGTTTTTATTATCTGGGGGCAGAGTCTTATAAATTAGTGCATGCTGACCTGAACAGGGGCACAGACCCAGAACCTCTAGTCTCTCCTCAGTTAGCTGGGTGAGAAGATACTTCAGGCCAGAAGCCCTGCAAGTTGTGCTGCTGCAGCTGCTATGTGCTGGCTCTCAGATGAACCTGGCTGAATCTATCTTTGTAGGCACGAGCTAAAAAAAATTCTCTCAAAGCTATGAATGTAGATGCAGTTGGGATTTTTCTTGCATCAACTTGTGACCAATCTAAAACTTAACACAATCTTAAAAAAATCTGCATTAAAGACTGTTACAGTCTTGGGTACTAACAGTTTATTTATCCTCCTCCTGGGGCAATTGGTAATAACAATAAGAAAGACTACGAATAATCTACATGATTTTAAAATGTTGCTTGCCCCAGGTAAGTGGAATTTTGCAGAATAAATATTAACCTGGATTTAAACTGAAGTTGAAAGAATGAGATTTTCAAATATCTGCACTCAAACCTTCTGTGAATACAGAGAAGTGATTAAAGAAAATCATGTTAACTTCAGCCAGACCAAAGACTTAAGTCAATATTGAGATCTTTTAACCTTCCCATAAGTCTCTTGCAGATGCATTATCAGTCCCATAACACAAACCAATTTTTTTTCTACAGAGAACAGTGTTTATTGTCACTGCACTTTCAGACGCTCTTCAATGTGGACACAGCTAGTTGCTAAACCCGCTAGCAAGTTGAATAATTTCAGTATTTCCTTCATGAATTAACTGCAGAAACATATTATTCGTTTAAATGGTCAATCCTTAAATGTGAAACTTTTAGTTTCTACTTTTTTTTTTCCCCAGAATAAACATTTCCTAAGAAAAAAAAAGTAACAGGATTGCAAATGGGAACCAAAGACTACCTGAAGCAATGCCAAGTTCAGAGAAGACAAAGAACTCACCTGTTTAGTATAGAACTTACAATTTTCCCCCAATAAATGGAGGTAGTTTTTTTTCCCTCCAGTAAGGATTTTGACCAAATCCTATATTCAGTTCATACCAAGGCTACCGTGTTGCTCACATAACACATAGCAAGTCACATAAAGATATGCACCAAGCGTTTAATCTTCAGTGGAAAGTCTAGTGGTTAACCATGCAAACAAATTATTTAACATTTTCCTCGGGAATCATTGCATTTCCATGTCCAGAGTGGTTAACATTTGTGTGTCATTTCAGTAACACATAGTTACGGTCAGGACATCCAGAGTCTGTATCCCCTAAAGCAAAAATGGGGAGGTTAATGTTCTAAGGCACTTGATTCAACCAGACTAATAAATTTTCCTTCCCCTGTAAATGATCTAACTGAGGTAATTTAGACAACCAGAGCTGGAAAACTTATGGTCAGCTAAATGAATCATGAGTCTACAGAATGCTTAAATTCAGAAAAAGACTTGAGGGTAGCAACATGCATATTGACAAAACTGTTGAAGAAATGCAATTGCAGGAAAAATAAATGTAACATGGGATGTCTGTAAAGAGATATCACGCATAGGAACAAAAAATAAAAGTAATTTTTCCTCTGCCTGTGAGGCCAGCGATGGTATTTCCAGTGTCTTACTGGAAGACCACTGAGTAGCTCACAGTCTTTCTCATTAGGAAGATATATAGAGAAAGAGTGAGTTGTATAAGACAGGAAAGATCACAAACACACATGCAAAAGCAGAATAGCCAATAGGATAGGAATAATAACAGAAGGTGAAAATACAACCCATTTGCAGCAAATTAGGATGGCATATCTAGGCACAAATGACATGCACTAATTTAAATACTCATCAGAAAAAAAACTTCTCAATGGAAAGATGAAGTACCTTGTCAAATAATCCAGCTTTGGACTTAAAAGTCAGTGTAGTGTTTCTTTAAAAACTGAATGTTGTAATCCCTTACATGGCAGAAAACACTTTTTGCAACTTCCCTTGTGCTTAATATAAAAAGCAAGAACAATAGATCTATCAAAGATAATTTACTTCTGCGTTTCCAGAGGCAGACCAAAAGTAACTGAAGGGTTGAAGTGTAAGAGAACAGGTTTATTTATTGCTCAGATAAAACTGGTAGTGGCGCACAGCCTGTAATTGCCTTTGTACAACTCTCCTGCTACAATCGCGATTTCAGTAACTCTGGGTTAGCGGATAGACTACTTAATCCAAGAAGTCTCTCTCCCTGTCTGTGGAACTCCTCTGAAGCTGTAAACAGGGTGGTCCACATTGCCCAAGAACTGCATGACAGGATCTTCTCTTATGACACTATTTCTAATAATACTGCATGCTTCAGGAGCAAAATCCTCCTCTTAAATCTACATGATAAATTGTGATCGGGACAGTCTACTCTTCCTATTGCTATGAACGTAAACTGAAGTTTGCAGTGCACCAAAAATCAAATTGACAGTTATCAGAACTTGAGAGAATAGCTCCCTTCTTTGAATTTCTTTTTTTCAAAAGTTAGTACCAAAAAATCTGCAGTTGAGTATTTGTTCCTCACCTAGCCATTTTGTTTTGTTGACCTTTTCTAAAACAGAAATGGTTCTATAAAGTACCACAATGCATGATAAATTGGAAAATGGCATCATACAATTAAAAAAAAAATAAAGGAAGTAAAACTTAGCATGATTTGTACTTAAAACAGAGAAGGCTACTACAAAGATGTTCTATAGTGGCATATACATTTTGAAGTAATCTGCAGGTTTCCGCAAGAAAGTATGCACACCATCATTAATCTCATGGGCAGAATTTGGCAATGTATTATTTACAAGCAAGACAAAGCTCTCTTATTTAACTTACCAAAATGCTAATGCTGCAATTTCCAAAGAGATTCACATAACTCACCCAAATCCCACTGAAATACGAGCATCCAGTTCAAATTAAGTTTTTGAACATCTCTCACTATGAATTCCCCAAATCCCAAAATGCACTCTAATTCCTTCTGCCAAGATAGGTTTTCATTATAATATCACCTTTCTCATAGAGCTCCTCCATCGCTCTCCAGGTTTCAGCTCGGACCTCTCGATTGCTTTTACCCGGAACATGTGCATCAGGCCAGTGTATTAAATAAAGATCTAAAAAAGAAACAGAACCAGATTACTTGTTAAAGTGTCCAAAAATATATATATAACAAACCACGTGAAACAGCATTTTCCCTCCATAATGGCCCCTAACATATTATCATCAAAATGGTTTCAATTACTACTCCATGATCATTACTGTATACATCCATTTAGTTTTAATAAGCAAAATCTGCAACATTTCATTAACAACTAAAGGTAGCGGAAGTTGCACATGTGCCACAGGTTTAGGTCACTGTAATCAGAATTTCATGGTCACATATGCACTTAATAAACTTTCAACACATAACAAGCCCCATTTAAGTCAAAGGGATTTTGGTCACTGGAATTAAGACCAGACACTGGAATTAAGACCGGACTACTGCTGAAGTGCTACAAGTCTTCAAGTTTATGGAAGATAAATATGTTTGGCAGTTCTATAGATATTTTATACAAACTCAGCAGCGGGTCTGTTTTTTTCCTTTCTAAAGGATACTTCCAATATGAATTTCTGTTGGAAATTACAGCACATTCTTTCATGCAGGTTTTTTGCTATGATTTTGTGGCAGCATTTGTGATTTTTAAAAAATAATATTTTAAGGGAACAAAATTATGCTTTACTACATTTTATGAAATATTAGCACAATTTCAAACACAATTAAGATTTACTGCTGATGAAATTATCCAAGCAGCTGCTGATCCCTGCTGTTTCAGGAAAGCATTTTTTTTGTGTTGTCTCCATGCAACAAAAGACCATCCTCCTACTGCAAAAGGAAGCATTGCCAACATAAATTAAAAATGAGAAATTTACATGTATTGGACTCAGAGTTCCAAATCAGATTACCTAAATTTCAAAAATTATAGGACCTATAACTCCTTTATAAGTTTGTAGACACTGCTAGACATTCTGAAGGAGAAACTTAGGAGATACTGTGAAAACAATTATATTTCTATTTAAAACCTAACTGCAGATTAAACAAGTAACTGCAGGCATCCCAGTCAAAGAGGTGTTGGGTCTTTGTCGCATACATTAGTCTGACACAAAACAGGAAAAGGAAATAAATGCATGACTGAGATGCGCATCGTTGTCATCGTGCTTTATAAAATTCCTTTTTTGGCAGTTCAAATACAGAGTTAAGAAATAAAAAAAAGACAGACTCATTTGCAATGAGCAGAGTTTTTTGTTCTTTGAATGCATCACACCATTCATTTACAGCACCTCTTTGTGAAAACACAGATCCTCTGCCATATTTTTTTGCACTAACAATTACTATACCAGTGGGCTGGTATATTAGCTTTCCACCTCTATAAATACAAATTCAACCTCGATTTATGAGTAAAAGGTAACATGAAATTCACTATAATACACCAGTTCCCATTTGGGTACATCATTGCAACACTGTTAAAGAGAGTATTTTGCTTACATTAAGAATCTAATTAGAACAGTACAGAATTTTGTACAGTAAGATACATTACAGATGTATCGAGGAAAAAATTTTGGGTCTATCGCAAAAATCATGAGCTAAATTTGCACTTTCTAATACCAATAACCCATTAGACTTTTAAACACAGTTGCTCAGACAAGCAAATATCACTCATATATAACGATTTGCAGCATCTGGATTTACGTCACATTTAAAGAGAAAGTTGCTCATTCTTTGCCCTTATATACATAAAATCCAATCCCAATTTAGAAAAGAGTAAAAAAACCACACGCAGTCTTGTTCATCGCTGATCTGCGAACAGTTACTTCTTCTCTAATTGCTCTGAAGAAAGAAGTTGTATTTATTAAGAATAAATACCAATATATAGTATGGGAATAAATACCAATTTCTGTGACATTTAAGTGAAAACTAATATTGGGATATTGATTAAAGCATTTGGTAAGGTTATGTTCAGAACTCAGGACTGCTCTAATTCTGTTGCCAATAAAGTTTCTTAAAATTTCCACTGACTTACATTAGACGCAATCCCAAGGATTAGCATTAGGAATTGCTAATATCAAGCGTTCATTCTGATCCAAAATTATATGCGCCACTGGTGGTACTTACTGCATAGAGACTGCCATGTTTCAATTCAAATTTTTTTGCTTGGATAAAGCAAATGTCATATATAAATAGGTATCTGATATATATACATATATATATATACACATGTATATATATATACACATATATACTGGTATCTGATGCCTACCTACATAGAAATGGAAGAATTACATATCTTTAATTGCTGCTTGTTATGTTCTCCAAATTAGACTCATAAGAACTTCTTAACTATGCAGAAACACGTCGTATAACACCAACAAAAAATAATCATTAACTTCAGCAGAATTTCACCAAAAGCTACTTTTCCAAAAGCCTGACTATTCAGTTAGACATCACAGTTTGCAAATGTTCACAGAAATAGCTACACCATGGACTTCCATATACAAAGATGCTTTGTACTCAGCCCAAGAAACTGAAGTGCTCTCAGAAGGATGACTTTTAACAGATTTGATAACCGAAAGATCTCTGGCCGTGGATATTTAAAAAATGCAGTACACCACCCTTCCCTGTATTAGTGTCGGAGACCTCTTCAATGCAAACGTGATTAGCTGTTGGTCCTTTATTTTAGAAAGGTGAGGTTATCAGGTATGTGATGTCCATATTGTCCTGTTACTTTTATTTTAATTTAGGCTTTTTGTTGAAATAAACATTACTTCGCAGTTAGAAATACACACATTTAGAGCTAGAAAACATCTACTGGATCACAAAGCGCAGTCCTCCTGACTGCGAGAGGTGTTCGCGAAAGATGTGGGGCAAAGGTGCCTTATCTCAGAGATACAGTAGAACACTCTTTCTGCCCGTCACGCACAATCCACCCCAGCACAGCTAGAAGCAGAAGGAATACAAGGTACCTTACAGCAAGCAATGCAGCTGCCACTCTATTTAAATAAACTAAGCATAGCTCATTTTAAATTAGGATCTGCTTACTTCTACTGCATCTGTTAGAAAACTTTCCATAATACCTGTAGGCCAATAAAACCAGTAAGCATCTCACAAACCAAGGTCTACGATTTCATTTGTACACACATTCACACCTACACCCACACGCTTTCTTTTGCTTAAAATATTTCCCCTCCTGGGGGATTACACGAGCACAAACACTGTTATTTTCATTTTGGAGGCAAGAAATTAGTTTTAAACTAATTTATCAAAATGGCTTAAGGTTCCAGTAATCAAGACATGTAACTTTATCACTGGAGGTTTTTAAGAACAGGCTACATTTTTATCCGTTGAGAATGATGTGGCTGTGCCTTGTGATGTGGGACAGATTAATCAATACTTTGAGATGTCTTCCAACTGTATTTTTTTTTAAATAATCTTAACTCAGAATAAAAAAACACAGTGATTCACAGTATCAGGATGCACTTGAGAAAGAAGAGAAATACCCAAACATTCACAATCAAATTTTGTATTTACCAGCTTTTTACAGCATCCTTTACAGACAATCAAGCTGTAGTGGTACAGTGTGGGCCTGAAATTCATTCATATGTCAAAACACAGGGCTGCAGGAAAACTAAAATTAATGTGAGAACTGCTTTCACACAGGCATTTAAAATAGAGTGGCTTATTACTTCTTAGCGGTACTGCAGCACCTACAATCAACACAGTTCCTCTGAACTCAAAAGTACAGGGACATTTCACACATTTAAAAGCCAACAGCATGTTGCATGGAAATAAAAGTTTGCAATTCTATTAAAATTCCTAATACAGTATTAGAAAAAGGGTCAAAACTCACGATAACAAACCTAGTTTTGAAGAACAAGCCCTGGCTCATATCAAACCTAAAAGCAAAAGTATATTTTTTCAATGTTTAGCACAGTTATCTTAATGCAATGATTGTATTTTCCCTGCTTTTCTCAATCGTCACCGCACTTAGTAAGTACATGATGCATTTTTCTCTCCCGCCCAATCTTTTGTTGTTGTTGTTGTTTTTTATTCTATTGGAACAAGGACCAATGTGAAGCAACCTCCAAAGTGTTCTGAATTCATACACAATCTGAACTGGGTGTATTATCATCATTCATGTGATTCATCTATTACACTGAATAGGCCGATAGAACATTTGTCCAACTCCAGCTGGGGATTTGCAATAGGTTAAATTTGCCTGAACGTGACAGACTCGGAACAGTCAAAAGGAAAATAAAATTGTTTATGAATTCGGTAACCCACAAATCACATTCAAGAAGAAGTTACTTTGGAGGTTTGATCCAAATCCCAAGGAATGTATTCTGCTACTGCCAAACCTGTAAGATTTGCTGCCATTTCATATTGGTTTACTGTGACTGCTAGTTGAGGACCGCATTTAGAAAATGCAAGGAGCAGAATATCTGTTACAACCACTGCCCACAAATAATACAAATTTCCAGCTTCTCATGGATATATAATCTACTGATTCAAATAAAAATCCTGGAACGCTGCTCTCCTAATATCATTTGCCCAAAAAGTGTTTCTCGAAAAGGTTTCATAACAGTATTTTACATGGAACACTTTTTCTCTTAAAAAGCTGCAACTGCTTTCAGCAGTTCATCTGTTTCAACAGCTGGCATTCTATATACTGCTAATGCACAGATTTATCAATTCCTGTTAGGTTATTTCCCAAGTCTCTAATTCAGTCTGCATGGATGGACTGTGTAGCCCATAAGGATCCTGAAGAAAATTAACAGCACCCGCCTCGGAACAAAGAACTTAGCTGCACGTTGAGCAGCCAGGGCTCCTAAAGCTTTTTCTTTTTGCACTCTTCTGAATGACTAACTTTCCCTCCAACGTAAAGGTCTAACTTCACAGATATATTATTTAGGATCTTTCAATTTTCTATATGAACCATGTATCTTACGGAAATGCTGCGAACCACCACGTATTTGGTTAGTATCATGTAACAAAATCAGGAAATTCTGACTTAGGTACATTTCATGTACCTTTATTTCACATTCCTATTTCTCAGAAAAACTGCCAGCTTTAACATATGCTTGTAACTAAAGGATTTACTTTCCTAAATAAGCTTGGACACAAATTGCCCTGTTATTACCAGATCTTTTCTTGCCATGGATTTCATGTCCTCTCTATGGCGTAGACTGGCCAGCAGAAAAGGGACATAAAATGCAGGTATGAATGAAAACAGAGGTAGGATATCCAAGCTTAGTTCTACAAGCTTATAACCATATTTTCAAACCAATCTTCTGCATTCCAGTTACTTTTGGTAGACTCGTGATAACCCTCAAAATTTCCATCAAAAAGCTCTTACTCTAAGCATTCTTGAAACACTTGAAAAGTTCATGTTTCAAGACATGGCCACTTTTTGCTTAAAAATCCTTCCAATAGCACCTACCAGCTGGGTGCTTTCAGGCAGGAGGTACAGGACTCCCTAAAGCGTGATGCTTTCTATGAACCCCATGAAACACACCACGTATTGTACCCCCTTTAAGGGTCTACTTCCCCAGCATATATAGCACTAAACACAGAACTCAACCGTCTCTCTTTCACACGCGTGCAGATCATACTGCGTTTAACAAAAAGTCTGTGGAGTTGATCCAACAGAGATTAAACTCAAGCAGCCAAACCCGTTACTCCATTTGCCACCCCATCCTTCTTGCGGAGGTCACCATCCTCATTGACAGATCAGTGAATTGCACGTGAAGTATTTCCTAAGCCATCAGAGTTTACAAATTGCCAAGTTAAAGCAAACTGAAGCCAGCCATTGATTTAGGTCACTATGTCAGACTAAGTGGTGGTTCAGGAAGAGCTTTATAAATTTTTCAGACATCTCCACGTCAGTGGAAGAAAGGCGAGGAAGGAGGGAAGGTGGGTGAGAGTATTAAAAAAAAGAAAAAAAAGCGGGTGGGGGGGAGAAAATCTGGTATGGAGGCAAATTGCACAGGCAGTTGTAATACTCCTTAATTTGTCTTACTAATATGAGCAAAAGAAGTCTCAGAGCTGAACATATCTAACAAACTGAAGTTCTGTTTATGCCATTCCAAGGATTCACTCACACAGTGACAGTATTTGTGCATTTCTTGCTCTCACATATTTTTTTCCTTGTTTCACGTATTTCTGCTTAGCAGCAATATGTAAACTGAGTATTTGTGTGAGCACCTACTTTAATCAGTCTACTACCTGAGAAAATAAAAGCAAAGTACAGTACCAAAAGGAATCACTGAAAATGGTTTCCTGGAAGTGAGTCAAGTTTTCCTCTCATCAACATTCAGCACCAGTGCCACAGCAAGCAGAAGAAAAAAAGAATGCAAACACAAAACATAACAAGTAGAAAGCAGAGAGGAGGAAACGTTATTTCTTAACTGAGAGGAGAAAGTCAGGGCTTGAAACTTTGTTTATGAAAGTCTCCTTGCAGTGACCTGTATTTGCATGGGACAGACAAAAAGAGATTTTAATTCATTTTGCATTATTCTGTACCTGCGCAGGAAGTTAAGGGATACATTTCCGTAAAGATACATTTCCATAAAGAATGGAGCCAAAGATGTGCATTCAAATATCTCAGTCTTTAACAGATACAGTTTTTCCTTTCATCTTGCAATGTACCCAAGCAAAAAAGCCAGTGAATACAGCACACAGCTGCCATTAATATTATATGCCATTAATTCCGCAAAATCTGTACTTCACAAAAGCTGTTCACTTCCTCATTAAAGTTTATTTAACAGTGGGACAGGGTGAGGAAAGAGAAGCAAAACGAGGTTTTCAGGACATTGACAGATAATGTCTGATGGTTAGGTCAATTATTCCTTGATGATCGGCATAAACGCTATCTCCACCAACGTTGTTATTTTAGACTATTACTTTAAATTTATCTTCCTCTACCTCCACTTTCTTTTCACTGAGCTAGCTAGGGAAGAAGCAGCAAAAGCATTTTAAAAAAATATCATGTTTATTTTTATGAGGTACCTCCTCTCCTATGACCTGTTGCAAAGAATTAATTGGCATCATTATTGCAGCTCTTTTCCTGTCTAATAACGGAGTAACAATATCACATCTTTGACTACAAGAAGTTTATGATCAGGGTTAAGTTTGAAAGTGCATAAGTCTAATTCAGTGTTAGTTAGATTTAGTCTTCTAAAGTCTTGTAGATACTTCTAACACTTTCCCCAAAGTATATTGCATCACACAGACCAAACTGAAAGCAGTTATTCAGAATTTTTAAAAGTTAATAGACCTACTGTGCTGGTTTTGGCTGGAATAGAGTTAATTTTCTTCACAGTAGCTGGTACAGTGCTGTGTTTTGGATTTGTGCTGGAAACAGTGCTGATAACACAGGGATGTTTTCGTTCCTGCTGAGCAGTGCTGACACAGAGTCAAGGCCTTTTCTGCCTCTCCCCCCACCCCACCAGCGAGCAGGCTGGGGGGGCACAAGGAGTTGGGAGGGGACACGGCTGGGACAGCTGACCCCAACTGACCCAAGGGATGTCCCACACCATATGGCGTCATGCTCAGCATGTAAAGCTGGGGGAAGAAGAAGGAAGGGGGGGGACGTTGGGAGTGATGGCGTTTGTCTTCCCAAGTCACTGTGGTGTGTGATGGAGCCCTGCTGTCCTGGAGATGGCTGAACACCTGCCTGCCCATGGGAAGCAGTGAATGAATTCCTTGTTTTGCTTTGCTTGTGCACGCGGCTTTTGCTTTCCCTATTAAACTGTCTTTATCTCAACCCACGAGTTTTCTCACTTTTACCCTTCCAATTCTCTCCCCCATCCCACCGGGGGGGAGTGAGCGAGCGGCTCATGGCAGTGCTTAGTTGCCAGCTGGGGTTAAACCACGACACCTACAAAATAACTTTTAGAAAGGACCCCCATTCCTTGAGATTCAACAGACCACACAAGAAATTAGGCATTTTTGTCGCCCTGTTACCAATAAATGATTGTAAAGTTTATGAATCCTTGTTTCATAGGTTTTGGGTGTTTTTAGCAAAATATATAAAACTCATGTAGTGGATCCTCAAATCAATTTAACAATGAAACATACCTTTACAAAACATACCTTGATCTGTTTTAAAACATTTGCAACAAGGAAAAATTCTGTGCTCTCAATTATATGCATGTGAACTTTCTAAAGATCAAACAGAACAAGAAATCTGCAAATGTGTAAATAAAGGCAGAATTTGTTTTCTGTGATCTATCTGTACGACATCATTTTTTTCCGGAATTCATTCATCTTTGCAAATACTCACATGGAAGGCGCAATAAATGAGCTATATGTAAAGATTCATACCAAGATATTCAACACCAAGTCTTTCACATGACTCCAAGCAGGCTTTTTCTGTGTTTTCATAGCCATAATCACTATGCCACAGTTTCGTAGTTATCCAGAGGTCCTCCCGCTTCACACCGCTCTCTTTGATGGCTTTTTGGAGGAGAGATTCACAGCCGTATCTTTTTGCTGTGTCAATATGACGAATGCCACATTTTTGTAATGCATGGACCACAGCATCATGGGAATAGCCACCTTGATGGGAAGTACCTAAACAAACAAAATCAGAAGTGAATTGTCAGCAGTGAATTATGAGGGACATATTTTATCATTCTTTTTAATTTTTGCTTTCCTTTTTTTGTATATTGTCGCAGAACCTTCTTATTCAATTTTCATTTCCTAATAGTAAACAAATGGGAACTGACAGATCTTTAGGCTGGGAAAATACATAAAGTGCTAGACTGTTGACGCTGATCAGAAATAACTCCAGCGAAATCAAATATCAACAGCATCTAACTGTAAAGAAGTGATTTCAGAAGTCAGGCTGAAGACCATCAAAGAGAAAACACATACTTTATGGAAAATTAGTATATGGCACTTAATTTTCATATAGGAGCGCAACATTTACAGATGAAAATACTAACAGTAAGAAATAAAATATAACTGAAAAAGCAATTTACTCTGCAGAGAGCATATCCTGAAACGTTTACTCTGTTGAACTCCTGGTAGCTTCAGGTTATTACTGCATTGTACAACCCCAGACTGGGCCATACCGCAGGTGCAATTCACATAATGTCAAGCTCAGCAGTAACCAAAACAATGGAATCCTACACAAGAGTTACAGAATGGGCATACAGGGAGTTTCAGTAACAAAGTACTGAACTCTCATTGTGTAGGTATTCACTGGATGTGTATTTTGCATGTCAAGGGGACGGAAGGAGGAGGAGACTCAGCAGGAAAAGCAACCAGCAGGAGGACTGTCAGATAAAGAACTGGTTGAGAGCAAGGAGGATGATGTTTCTACTTACCCTTTCCTGTTAGTTGTTTTTCCTGCCATGAGCCCCTCACCCATTCACCCTCACTCACACACTTCCCACAAACAGTATTCTCTACAGTTTGTTGGAGGAAATGCTCAGTCAGTTCCAGTCAGCTACCAAAGCCACCTTCTAAGATGATGACTGGCACTTAAAGGCCCTAGTGCTATAAACAATAGTCGGCATGTAAATGGCTACGTCACTAACTTCAGAAGGGCCCTGTGCAGTCGTGACAGTCAACAGCAACAGGGTCTTCAGCCACTGCTGAATCTAAATAAATAAAGGACTCCAGGTCAAAGAATAACATAAAGTGAAATCTGTGTCTGCCCTTAACTTTCTCTTTCCCTTCAAACATAATATTTATTTCTACATCAAACACTATCTGCATGTTATGAAAGTAACAAATGTATACGGCCACCCAGGCTGTCAGAAAAAGGAAACAAATGAAAACACACACAGTTACCTTGGACTCATCCTTAGAACCTCCCATACCTGAACTGGAGAGCGAGCGCCCACGGGAGCCTGCACGGCGTTCTCAGACGCGTCATAACAACGCATGCAAGAACGAGAACTTACAAAAGTCCTACCTGCGTGTAAGGCAAGCCAGGTTCTCCTAAATGCTTACAGTTTTTGTTCATTCCCAGTCTTAGAAGGAAAGCCAATGATGCCTCTGTAATCTTGCTCAATGCTTCAAGTCATTTTAAATAAGATATAATACGGTCTGATATCACACACGTACACCTGAGGATCATGACGTTCTGCTGATCACAATGGGACAATCCCCACTTTATGTTCATGACCTACAAAATGTGGAGTATTGAATCCTTGATTTATCTTCATGGATTTTAGAGTGATGAAATTATACTACTATATTCGTACAATTTTGACATGTGTATCAAGTATTTTACCTTCCAAATGTAAACAAAATTTTACTGTTTTAAAAGACAAAACTTTAAAACTTTTTTCTCCATAGCCACTAATTATGATTAATAACTGGCTTAATTTCTGAGTCATCTAGATATAATGTCCCTATAGCTTGTTTTACATCAAAATAAGTCAAGCTAGATCAACTTACATTTTGAGAATAGCTATTTCAAAATCTTCATGAATGTTTAAGAATTTTAGATGAATGCAGTGTTACTACATTGCAACTATGGGCAAAGAACATATATGCAGTTATTACATTATTCAGATCCTAAAGGAATTTTATTAAAGAATTATATAACTAGCATAGAAAAATTACTATACTTTTTCATAACCATCCCTTCACTTTTAATAAGCTGGTGCTGGTGCCAAATAAAGGAGGTTGTAACTATTGTGTCTGTTTCTGGCTGAATGGACATTTCTAAGCACAGAATGAATGGAGTTCATTTAGAGGTCTTGCAAATGGACTCAGACTCTTTTCATGCATAATGGATTTCAGCAAGAACATTTAGGACAAACAACTTTTTTTTTTTTTTTTTTTTATTTAACCCTTTTAAGTTAAAAGGAGAGAGTGGGAAAGAAGGAAAATTCAGAATACTTTTGTTATTGTTCCCCGTTCAGTGACGGCACGCAGACTTGTTTCACAAGAAATAAAGAGACCAAAATCAGTCTGGAGGGAATTATTTCAATTTCTGTGCCTAAAAATGAACTACAACAGTACTGATGCACTAAATAATAATTAAAAGCTTAATTATCTAATATTACCACTTTGAAAGCCAACTTAATCACGAACAGGTTTCTAAGTTAATTATGCTACTAACATAACAGCTTCTAGACTCTAGAAATCACAGTTTTCTTGTGTTTACTCACGTGACTAAGTATCTCACAATTCATAGATGCAGAAGGGTGACAAAAGAAGGTGGAGTGACTTAAATTTCTATTTTTTTAACATTTTAAACGTGGACTTAATGTTATTTGAACATATTAACATTCTTACATGTTTGGGATTACCCTTTGCTCACAGAGATGTAATTCACACTATGCATGCATATTTAAAGACAAAATCCAATCTCGCATTTAAGACTAATATGAACTGGGACCCATTCCATCCTCTCACTGCTTCTAAAAATACTGGATTAATATATTTTTATTCTAGAATTCTCTGATAAAAAATAGGAATTCCTTTTAATAAATGAAGTTAAATATAAATAAGTCTGTAAACACTCCCTACTTTTTAGCTAGTATTTTAACTTGTTTTCCTAGGGCAATAGCACTGTTCTCTCACTGACTGAACTAATCCAAATTTGACAGAACTGAGGATGTCCGACATAGTTACATTCCTACAGATTCTGTGAAAATCGGTGGTTGGGAGGGACAAGGATACTGCAGTGGAAATATGGATAGGTCGAAGGGCACAAATCCATTGAAAACTAGGCTTAATTAGTTACGTTGTTCTTTTTGTCATGGTCACTCATCACTTTCTTGATATCCTGAAGACCACAGCTATCAAAACTTGGATAAGAAATGTGCTCTGGCAATCCATAAAAAGTTTCAAAGATTATTAGGAAGGCAGAATCCTGTTCCAATGCGGTTGCTACAGGGGAAAAAACAAACAAAAAAACAAACCAGCAACTCCCCCCAAAAAGACAAAATCAACAACACCCCCCACCCATCCTTCCCCTAAAAAAAAACCTCCACAACAAAATGTAAAACGACTAACAAACCAAAATGCCACTCCCCCCTCCCAGTTTTATGCACCATCTCAGCTGACTCTCAGCCTCATTAAACTTTCTGTTCTCCTTCACAGAAGCTGTAGAACTACAGATAGAGTTCCAAAGCACCAACAGCTTTTCAAAAGAGAATCAGGACCTACTTTCTCTCCCTGTTTTCTCCCTCCCTTTGTGGAGGAGTGTGTCTTCACGTTCTTTGTGAAATGTGAAAGTATTATTTATCTGAATATGTAAAAATGTTCTGTGATATGAATAACTTTGGCTACTTGAAATCAATGGAATCACTTACATAAGAAGAGTTCCTGTTAGTGAAACTGCAAGCCAGGATATTTAGAGATCATATCACGGATTAATTATCTTCTGACATCAGTACTAAATTAAAACAGTTGACAAACAAAACACCTACAAAAATGCCCATTCCTTTGCTGATTTTTTTATCTCCAAGTAATCCCTTGAGAAAGGAACTCTTAAAAGCAAAATCTCAAACATCCTTTTATCAATGTTTACATACTCATTGTGTGTATACGGTATTGTACACCATAATAGGCTTGAAATACCTTGTTCTATTAGTTTTATTTCTATTTTTTCAACACTACTGCCACATAATGCATCTTATGAATACATTAAAGTTTTTGGTGTCAATACAGTTTGATTTCAGTAATTACCTTATGAGCAAATTTGATGATAAAATATAAAATGTTGCCTACGCATACAGCAAATGAACATATAACACATGTCAAGGTTTATTGCTAATCCATTCACAAACCCACATGCCTCTTCTATGGAATGACCCAAGGATAGGCAATCCTGACTTACTGTCCTTGCTTACTGTCTTACCTCCTCCTTCGCTGTTCATATGATCCTCTGGCAAGCTGATTCAGATTGTTAAATGGCCAAAAAAGTGTATAGTTTTAGAATTATTCATGAACTGAAAAACTTCCCAGAGGGGAAAAAAACACTAAATTTTGGGCAAGTGATGGGGCAAGAAAAGTCCCCCCTTCAGCAGCAACAGTTAAATAATTTTATATATTCAGTGGTTTTATTAAAATTAAAAGAAAAAAAAAATCACAGTTGTGTTCAAGCCAACCACCAAATAATCAGAAAGACCTTCTCCGTGAACTTGTCTCCTGGAGCTTTTCTTTCCATTATGTTCCCCAACACCATCCCTAGAGCTGCTCTCAGACAACCAGATAATGTCACACTAACTTTCTATAACCACAGCACTAGAACGCAAGTGTTCTTACTGCTGTATTTTGGCGTGGTTTTTACTTAACAGGGTCAGTTAACTCTGAAAATCATATTTAGCATCAGATGACGAAGTATTCATAGCATCCTCTCTTCTTTTGTAGAGCGTAGGGCTTTCCTCTGCAGCAGGTGAAATCAAACAAAGTCAAGCTTGTTATGAAGCTATTACACTCTACAGTTTTCATAAGGCAACTACGGAGTACTTCCAGTTACGGGATCCAAATTTAGTCACAATCACTTTTACAAAATAACTTGCACATTTTACTCAGAGTCTGAGAATGGCATCTAACGTATATATAATGGAGCAGGTGCCCTTGCAGGAACGGAACCTATAGAG